TGGACCTTTGCCTGCCCCTGACCTGGGAGCCCTGTCCTCCTAGCCACGTGTGGCCTGCACTCCAGCTCCCCTGCCTAGGCACTCATCCATGAATGCTGTGGCTGCACTGGGTGTGTTTTTGGTGAAGTGCGCTGTTGGTCTGGGGCTTTCCCTTTACCGATAGGAGCATTATATCACGTGGTCTTCTTTCAAACCGGCCTTGTGTTCTGGGCACAGACCCCCACCTGCCCGCGGTGTGTGGCCTTGTCTCTGTGTCCTGGACTCGGTCTCCCAGTGTTGTATCAAGGTTTTGCACCCATATTTGCAGGAGGTGCTGGGCTGCACATCCCTGGAGCATCTTCTGACCTCACATCTGGGCTCCTCAGGTGTCCGATGATTTCCTCAGGGTGGTTGCACCTGGCCACCAGGAGGCAGTCTCACAGTGTCCKGCTGGGCAGCCGCTTTTCTCCCCTCCCCTCTCTCTACTGCTCCGTCTGAAGTGAAGTGGGGACCCGGCTCCTCTCGGGTAGAGGAGTCCTGTGTGGGGAGACTTGTCCCTCCTCCACCCTGTGCTGACTGTCCAGTCTCTTATTCACGTCAGCGTGAGCTGAAGGTGCTCACTTTGATTCTGGGCACATTCAATGCTGCTGCGTTTTGTTGTGCAAACTCTAGGCCACCGGCAGCTCCCTTGTTCCTCCGTTGCTCCACACACCCATCTCTAAGGGTTCCTTGTTTCTGGCTTTGCTTTCTGGTGCACTCCCCAGTGCTGTTACTGCGGGAACCTCAGGAGCATCCTGGGCACCCCTAGAGTTGCCCTTCCTCTCGGGAGGGTGGTCCTGGTGACGGGTCAGGGCTCTGAGTTTGCCCCTCACAGGGCCAGGCCTGCTGCAGAGCACAGGTGTGTGTGTGGCTGCGTCTACACACAGACCTGTGAACACAGCTGAGCTTGTGGCCCGCCAGCCTCCCTGCCTGCCACACCCTGCCCTCTGAGGGAGGGCCATGGAGTCAGGGGGTCTCTGGCTTCCATGGGAGCACAGTGGCCCTGACCTTGCCCATGGCCTGGCACCCCATCAGTCTAGACTGAGCTGGGCTTGGAACTGTCTTCCTCAAGGAAGGAAGGCCCTGGCCCAGCTGGACAGTCACTGGAGCTGGTCTTCGGAGCCCTGCCTTGGCATGTCTGCCTCCCTGGTCCCGCTGGTTCCCAAGGCATGTGACTTAGCAGCATGGCTGCTGCACAGTGTCTCCTGTGACAGCACAGGGACACGTGGCCCTGACTAGGGATCAGGGGTCCACCCTGCTGGACAAAGCCCACAGCAGCTGCACCCAGCACCGTTGCCCTCTGTCACAGAAGGCTGCCACAGTGCTGGACAGCCTCCTCCTGTGTGCCTCCTGTCCTAGGCACAGCCAGGTCCTGCGGCCAGGCACCTGTGTGTTCCTGCTTCGCCASCCTTCTTGGGTTTCTGTTTTATCACTTGGTCTTAGGCCTTCAGCCACCTCCTTGTCCTTGGCCAGTGGCCTGCTCCAGGGCCTGCTCTGTTGGGGCTGGTCCCCAAAGAGCACTTTGTTTCAAGGCTAACAGTATCTGCTAACGTTGGCATCCGTGTCTGCGAATGCTCTTGTCCTGATGCTGTGTGAAGCCAGAATGTCCCCAGCCAGGGTGGCTTCTGCGGTTACTGGCCCTGGACAGGGTGGGGAGGAGCAGCAGGCAGTGCTACCTTGTCAGACCAGACCCGGGAGCACAGGTGAGAGATGGGGCCACCTGTGCTCTCTGCCAGTTCACTGGAGCTCAGGCTCCCTGATCTCCAGCCACTGCTGGGACGGGAGGGCCGCTGGCACAGGCCACTCTTCTAGCATGCTGTCGGAGTCGTGGGTCACATGTCACAGTCCCCGTTGGCCTTGCAGACAGTCCAGGACGGCAGGCAGTTTCTGAAGTATGTTGACCCCAGGTTGGGAGTCCCGCTGCCAGAGAGGGACTACGGGGGGAACTGCCTCATCTACGACCCAGACAACAAGACCGACCCCTTCCACAACATCTGGGTAAGGCACGCTGTCCAGGGCTGGGCTCCGCCAGCAGGGGCTGTGTGGTCCACAGGCCACCACAATAGCATGTGTGGCAGACCTGGTCTCACGCTCTGGAGCTGGCAGGCGCTGCTTAGTAGAGTCGGCCCCTGGGGCTGGGTGGGGGCTGGCCCCAGGCCATGACCTGCTGCTGGTGAGGTCTGTGCCGATGACTGCCCATGTTGCCCACAGGACAAGCTGGATGGCTTCGTTCCTGCCCACTTTATTGGCTGGTACCTGAAGGTAAGTGATCTCCTGTGGCACCGACACCCTGGCTCTCAGACCTGAGCTGTGTTCTGGCAGCTTCTGGCCACAGGGTGGAACATCCRAGTGGGCGGGTGGGCAAGTCCTGGCTACAGAGTATTTCAGAGAGGTCTGCAAACCCCTGGGACCCCTAACCTTGCCACCTGGGTCTGCCCTGTGGCCAGCATTGTTGGGGGAGGCGGGGGGCAGCTAGGGAAGGCCAGAGGCCCCAGCCCAGGCTGGCTGCCAGTGCACTGCTTGCAGCCTAAAGTGTCCCAGCTGCACCTGCCTTGGGAGCTCGGTGCTGGATGTGTGGGCGCCTCCGTGTGGGCTGAAAATCTAAGACTGAGGCTGCTGGAGGGACCCGCCCATCATGCCCACCTGGGGCTGAGGGCCTCCCTCCAGCGGGCAAGCTCTTGTGCCGAGGGACATGGAATGACCAGTGCAGGCTGCCTCCCACAGACTCTCATGATCCGCGACTGGTGGATGTGCATGATCATCAGCGTAATGTTTGAGTTCCTGGAGTACAGCCTGGAGCACCAGCTGCCCAACTTCAGCGAGTGCTGGTGGGACCACGTAGGTTGGGGGGTGGGCAGGGTGGACAGTGTGGGTAGGGCGGGCGGGGTGAGCTGGTGGACCACGTGGGGGTGCAGGGAAAGGGGGGCACTGATGGACCATGAGGGTGCAGGGGTCCCCGTGTGGGCTGGGGGACCACATGGGTGTGGGGGCCTGGGTGCTGGGCCTGTCCTGGGGTGGGGCCAGGTTGCCCTGGCCACCTCTGGACGAGCCCAGGCACACAGCATCACCTCTCCTGGTTCCTGCCCAGTGGATCATGGATGTGCTTGTCTGTAATGGGCTGGGCATCTACTGCGGCATGAAGACCCTGGAGTGGCTGTCCATGAAGACCTACAAGTGGCAGGGCCTCTGGAACATTCCAACCTATAAGTACATCTTAGGAGCCAGGGAGGGGGCGGGGGATTGTGGGCCTGAGGCCCAGGCCTGACTGCATGCAGCTCAGGAGCGGTTGGGGGTAGTGTCTGCCTCCTGGACCTGCTGCCATCCTCAGGAAGCAGTTGCTGTGTTCTGTCATTTTTACTGTGAGATTTTCAAGAGTCAAAGCAGGCMTGGTGGTGCACGTGAAGTCCCCGAGGCGGGAGGACCACCTGAGCCAGTTCACGCCAGCCTGGGCAACACAGCGAGACCCTGACTCCAAAAAAGAAAAAGGAAACCAAAGACTTGGGGAACAGCGGGAGCAGAGGCTCCCCTGCAGCCTGAGTGCCTGGAGCAGGGGACAGCCCCTCTGAGGGGTGGGGCTGGGCAGAGGGTGTGGAGCAGCTCTGGGTGCAGAGGCAGCGGCCTGGGCCGGCAGCGGCCTGGGCCGTATCCTTAGGCTGGCCACTCTGGTCCCCAGGGGCAAGATGAAGAGGATTGCCTTCCAGTTCACGCCCTACAGCTGGGTCCGCTTCGAGTGGAAGCCTGCCTCCAGCCTGCGCCGCTGGCTGGCCGTGTGTGGCATCATCCTGGTGGTAAGGCTGGGCTGCCTGAGGGTGTGCATGGCCAGTGTCCTGCGCAGGCTGACCCTCCCTGTCCCCCAGTTCCTGCTGGCAGAGCTGAACACCTTCTACCTGAAGTTCGTGCTGTGGATGCCCCCCGAGCACTACCTGGTTCTGCTACGACTGGTCTTCTTCGTGAACGTGGGTGGCGTGGCCATGCGTGAGATCTACGATTTCATGGATGACCTGTGAGGGCCGCCTGCCGGGCCGAGGCCGGGAGGCACCCCTGGGGTGGGGGAGGCCTGATGCCTGGGCAGGCCTGGCCAGCTGCCATCTTCTCCACAGGAAGCCCCATAAGAAGCTGGGCCAGCAGGCTTGGCTGGCGGCAGCCATCACAGCCACAGAGCTGCTGATCGTGGTGAAGTACGACCCACACACGCTGACCCTGTCCCTGCCCTTCTACATCTCCCAGTGCTGGACGCTGGGCTCCGTCCTGGTGCTCACCTGGACCGTCTGGCGCTTCTTCCTACGGTGAGCAGCGGCATGGGCTGTCTGCCTGGCTCCAGGGCCACTGGGGTTGGCTATGGGTGGTGTCTGTCACCTCTGGCTTTGCTGAGGTGGCCAGGGTCTGTGCCTGCCCATTCCTCAAGTCATCTGGAGAAGATGGCTCTGGGGCAAACTCCATGGGCCCCCCCATCACTGTAGATCTATCCTCATGTGGTAGGTCTGGCTCCCAAGGATCCAGGTGGCCTGGCCTGCCGTGCCATGGCCCCCACCCAGCCCCTCTGAGAGTTGTGTCCCATGTGGCTTCCTCCTGGCGAAGGCTGCCTGGGGGTCTGTGAGGCCTGCTCTGGGTGTTGGTGTGCAAGCAGTGGTGACCTGGCCTCTGTTGTCCCCCAGGGACATCACCTTAAGGTACAAGGAGACCCGGTGGCAGAAGCAGCAGAGTGACCAGGGCAGGGCTGTTGGCCACGGGGACGGGCACCCAGGGACAGACGATGACCTGCCTGGATCAGGAGCTGCCCAGGAAGAGGCCTCTGAGCAGAGGGTTCTAGCTGGGAAGGAGGGGCCCTCCACCACCTCCTGAGTGCCTGCCTGCCCAGGGCCTCGCCCTCCAGGGGAGGAGGACTGAGGGCCATTCGCTCCACTCTGCACTGGGGTCCTGGGCTCCCCCAGGGCTTGCTCTGGGCAGGGGGTCCCGCCCTTCCCCTGCTGCCTGGTCTTCCAGGGCTCTGGCTTGACACACTTGTGCCTGGCAGCACAGCCCAGCACAGGCCACTTGGGGACCTGTGTCCACTCACTGAGTATGGGCAGGGCTGCCCATCCTCCTGGTGACCCAGGGGAGAGAGAGGGGTCCACCAACACAGGATGACCAAGTCGTGGACAGACAGCAGCATCGAGTGCTTCCTCTGAGCCTTCGCCCCATCCCAACTCTCAGCAGGACATGACAGGGTCAGAGGTCGCGGGACTGGCCCCTCAGGCTTCACCTGCCAGTGGGAGGCTCTGAGGCCCCAGGCACTTTTTTTTGGGGGTGGGGTGTTGTCTCTGCGAGCAAACAGAACAAATAAAGTGACTGTGGAGGTGGAAGCCCGTGCCTCCTCCCTGCTAACCCAGAGGGTGCAGGGCCTGCGGGCACAGCCCTCCTGGGGATCTGGAGAGTCCAGCAGCTGTGTGTGTCATAGGGGCAGGGCTGGTGACTACTGGGGAGTGGCTGCAGAAGACGGAGCAGCTATCCTCTCAGGCTGGTGTCTAAAACATTTGAAGCTATTTCTTGCTGTGCTGGGGACAGAACCCAGAACCTCACACCCCCTACACCAAATGCTCTGCCACTGAGCAGTGCCCGGCCTGCCCCATTCTCCACAGGACACTGAGACCCCCACCCAGCCTCTTCTGTAGTGGGCACTGCGAGGTGCCTGGCAGGCTGCACAGCAGAACCTGCCTCCAGGAGGCAGGGACTGTGGTCAAGCATGAGCTTAGTGTGCACCATCCAGTGCCCTGGCTTCCAAGGCCTTTTGAGTCTTTTTGCTCACCGTTTTTGGGAAAATTTCAACCCTCCAGAAGCTGTGCAGGCAGAATAGCATGCACACAGGCCGCACCCTAGACACTAGAGGACAGGCCTTCTAGAGTGGCCCAGCGGGTGCCACTGGACCTCATGTTGTCTCAGGCCTGTACAGCGACCTCCCAGGGACACTGCCACTGCCACCTTCTGCTCAAGCATGTCGCTTGAGGTTCCTGAGAGCTGAGTTTCCACCGCAAGGACCCCCCCACACACACTGGGTCCCTGGGGATCCCTGTGCACTGATGCTCCTTCCCACCGGGACCTGTGATAGACCTCCGTCCCCCGATGCTCCCTGCACCAGTGTTGACCGCTGCCCTGGACAGCCCCCCAGCTCTGCACCTCTTCACTGTCAGGTCTGCAGGAGGCTGCGGCCACATCTCTCCAGGAGCCCTGATGTCTGGGGGAGTCACAGATCCCGGGCCCCTTAAAGGGTTTTAGAGTAGCAATCCCAGATTGCTTCCCAGTCAAGTGTCCCACAGACCACATGAGCAGTCTCCCTGTCTCAACATGGTCAGGGTGGGTCGCCTCTGGCCAGCTGGCATTGAGGGGTGGCCCCCACTGTCCTACCCAGGAGGCAGCAGTGAGAGCTGACAATCTGGGCATCGGGTCAAGTGGGGTCAGGCTCAGTGGGGACATCAGGGCCAGCAGTTCCGAGGCCTAGCCCAGGGGGCAGCCCCTTACAGAAACCCTGCGAGGGTTCCCAGCCCACAGCAGAGCCAAGTAGACCACCAGCATCTGAGAGCAGGCTTGAGCCATAATCCTGAAGAGCAGACTCCTGAGGTATTAGATCCCAAAAGATCAAAATACTGAAAGTAAACCAGGTGCAGTGGCACACGGTGGAATCCCAGAAGCCTGGGGCGGGAAGATCAAAGCCAGCCTCAGTAAAAGCGAGGTGCTAAGCAACTCAATGAAGCCCTGTTTCTAAAGAAAATACAAAAGAGGGGATGTGGTTTGGTGAGAGTGCCCTCAAGGGCACAACTGTGCACCGCCCCCAAGAAAAAATCTTAAGCCTTTTTCTTCTTTTTCCTTCTTCAGTACTAGGGGCTTGACCCAGGTATACTCTACCACTGAGCTACATCCCCATCATGTTTTCATTTTAAGACAGGGTCTCACTAAATTGCTGAGGCTGGCCTCCTGTCTCCCAAGTTGCTGGGATTACAGGCATGCATCACTGCACCTGGCCTTTGTTTACATTTTAAAGGGGATTTTTTTTTGGGGGGGGGGGATACTGGAGCTTGAACCTAGGGTCTTGCACATGTGAGGTGAATGCTCCTACCACTGAAGTATGTTGCAGCCCTTTTTTAAATTATTTAAGAGGCAGGTTCTTGGTAAGTTGCTGAGGCTGGCCTCAAATTTGCCATCTTCCTGCCTCAGCCTCCTGTTAACCAAATCATTCACAAACCATAGTGGAAATCCACTGTACATGCAGTTGCCCAAAGAGCCTAGAAGTTCAGAAAGAACTCTTTGCTTTTATTTTGGCAACACACAATGCTTACACAGTCAATATTGTGGAAGTGTGTCTGCATGGAGTCAAAACTAGGGAAATACAGTCTGTACCTACATATTGAAGTGATGTGAAGACAAACCACAACTTTAAAAACTAAAAACRGAGCACATGAAAAGGTGCATTGCAGGAATGGCTGTGGGTGCCAGGAGCTGGTCTGTGCAGCTAGCAGCCACACCTGAAGCCTTGTGTGAGGCAAGAGGCTTTGTCCTGTTTGGCTCCTTGGGGACACATCCACTCCTGTTTTCTGTATGGTGCTGCTCTTGTGAGTTGCACAATCTGATGGACACCAGCATGGGCGCTGCCTCGAGCTGCCCAAGCTGGAGATTCCCCCCACACTCACACGGCCACAGACCAGGCAGAAGTGACGCTGGAGGCAGAGCTGCTCTGCTCTGCCACCTCTGGCCCTGCACACGCCTGTTTCCAGCCGGCTCCCCCAGGTAACGCGACTTTAATTCACTGAGAAAGCTCCTAGGATTCCTTCAGCTGGGAGGGTGAATTTCTTTTGGTACCAGGAGTGTGCTACCACTGAGCTGCATCCCCAGGCCTTTTGGGGAAGAGGGTCTTGGTAAGTTGCCGAGGCTGGCCTCAAGGCCTGTGCCACTGCTTGGCATCTTGAGGGACTTCTTTCTCTTGGGACTTMTTTCCTTCTTTCTTCGGTAACACTAGAGATCAAACCCAAGGTCTGACCCCTGCAGGGCTTTGCTCTTCCACTGAGCACTCCTAGCCCCCCTGGGATCTCAACAGTGCCCGTGCCAGATGCCCTCAGTGTGGGCAGGACTCGGGCTTCTTGTTGACAACAGACACGGTGAGGCAAGGGTGAGGGGCCTGGGCCTGGCCTGGCTACCTAGCCYGTGGGGTCCTTTGGCAGCCTGTGCCCTGCTCAGGGCACTGTGTGTGAACAGGGCATTCTCAGCAGCTGCAAGCCACAAGGAAGGACAAGGATCCTCCTGCCAACAAGTGCTTTAATAACTATGCAGGGTCTCAAGCTCTCTTGCTGAAGTAGTGGGTTAGGGCATTTCTTCCCAGTCAAAGCCAGGACACCAGGAGTAAGAGCCACAGCATGGWCTGAGGATGCGGTGTCCAGGTAGATTTCAGAAACCGCAAGCAGGAACTCAGGAGATGACCCTCAGGGACGGCTTGTGTTCCTCCAGGGTCCGCAGCTGCTCTTCCATCTCCTCAGTCCAGTAGATGTCATACAGGCTGCACGTGGGCAGAAAGGAGGGAGTGAGCCAGAGCACCCACCGCCCGGCCTTCCCCCGCTGCTCCTGAGCCCCGGTGCCCCTAGCACTTGGCCACTTACACCAGCTGTTCCAAGACACAGCCAGGCTGCCGGAGACTCTCCACTAGCCGCTGTATGCCAGGGTCCCCCACGCAGTTGTTGCTCAGGTCCAGCTCCCGCAGGCTGCGGTTGACCAGCAGAGCCGTAGCAAGGGTGTCACAGCCACTGTCGGTCACGTTGCACTCGCCCAGCCTGAGCAGGGGCACAGGCAGCGTTCAGGACAGGCATGCCCAGTGTGCCATGGCCCACAAGAGGGCACTGGAGGCCCTGGCCCACAGACCAGGACTCTGGGTGAGGTTGTTCCCAAGTCCCAGCCTTGAGCAGGTCCTGGGTAGATGCCCCAATCAAGGATGGAGAGATGCGCATTGGCACCTTGGCATCAGAGCCCACTGGGTCAGAGGAGTCAGTACCAAGGCCAGGGGGCTGCACAGGAGAACGGGACAAGGTGATGGGTGGACAGAGGCTTGTAGGTTCAAAGAAACGGGATGCAGTGGGACAGACCTAGCACCCACCCCAGAAACACGGATGCCCCAGGGAGGGGCCCTGACAAACCTAATCAAATCAAGGAACCAGATGGGACCCCACTTGCCAACAGCCAAGGCAGGCCCATATCTCCCAGCACAAGACCAAGCTCCTCTCCACCTGGCTCCAGGATGGCATCCCCTGGGCAGGTGACTGAAGGACTGCTGTTCAGGCTGCCCATCCCACCCASCAGCCAGTGCGTGGTCCAGGATGACCAGCACCCAAGGAGAGCTGCCCACAGGAAGCACAAACAGAAAATCAGCAACAAACAGAAACCTAAAAGCAGAAACCCAAGTCTTTGTAGAGCCACATGCCCACAATCCCAGCCACTCTGGAGGCTGAGGCAGGACAATGGCATGTCCGAGGCCAGACTCCACAACTTAGCAGGTAATACAGAGGGCTGGGGTGTAGCTTAGTTTGTGAGCACCAGGTCCAATCCCTCAGCTAGAAAAAGAGAAAACTCCCAAAATAAGAAAACTAGAAAGAAAATATTACAGGGAATGGGAACATTAGCCCTAGAGACCTAAGGGATGACTGCCAGGCACTCCAAAGAGAAGGAATTAGAGGAGAGAGATCAGCAACACACAGCGCCCCTCCAGGACCAAGGACATCCAACTCCAGAACAGGCTCTGATCTCAAAGCTTGCCGTGAAGAAAAGGCAATCTGCAGGGAAAGTAGGACAGCAGTGCCTGTCCTGAGAGCCAGAGTGACTGAGAAACACGCTGCCTAGAACCTCAGCAGAGTGACCAGAGCAGGGCACATGGGCTCCTCAGGCTGCTTCCACAGGACCCTTTCTTGAGAAGCTGCTGAAATGCGCTCAACCAAATGGAGGGAGCCTGGGAAGATGACCCCAGGGGGTCCTGCAGAGGGTGGACAAGGCTTCCAGCATTACCAGATGGCTGGGCCGGAGCCCCAGGCAGCCATGGGAYTCCATGAGCAGGACCTCTGACGGTCAGGATCAGGGGGAGAACCAAGCCAGCCAGAGCTGCACCCACAGCCTGGTGCATGCACTGGCACTCACCAGAGGACCCGCAGCACGGCGCCCGGCTGGCTCAGGCCCTGGCAGAGCTCCTGCACACCTGCATCGCCCAGCTGGTTGCTGCTGATCTGCAGCTCCAGGAGGGACTTGTTCTGGGCCAGCACCGAGCGGAAGTAGGGGCAGCAGGCAGCTGTGAGGCCGCAGGTCTTGACCCTGTGGAAATGGAAGGGACAAGGCCTGGCTGGCTGGGGCTGGCCCAAGGCCACTC